GGACAACGAGACTAACTCAGAGAGTGAGGCACTTTTGCTCAGTTGAATGGAGAAATTTATAAAACCGTACACTCCCGATTATAAGTTTAAAGACACGCCCAAAACATGCAAATGTGTTATGTTCATCCATTTTACGTCCGATTTTCGTTCTTTTTAAAACATTTGAAAAACGAAGAAGCAAATTGCTCAATATAATTTTCAAATTATGTATACCAAAAGTTGTCCCCAAAGATACACTATTTTTCAAAATTTACTCTGAAGAATCATGATTGATTTTCTCAGAATTGAGTTGACAAAAAAAATATTTGAAATTAAAAGTAGTACCATGCTATACCATTCATACCATTCACATAACCTAAGGAGATCAAAAATTGGACGTAAAATGAGAGAGCTTTGAACAAAACACATTTGCATGTATTTTGGGGGTGTATTTAAGCTTATGATCGGGAGTGTAGGTTACTCAGCGCTGAGTGAACTACGCTTTTGGAAATTTCTCCAGACAACTGAGTAAAGCATGACTGAGATAGTCCTATGGCTCGACTGGCTAACTCGTGTGTATATATTTTATACATTTTACATTACACACATTTTAGACCAACTGAGTAGATTCTTCTCGTTTAGATTTGTATGTAACCATAAATTCGACGTCACATTCCTAGCAGCGTAGGAATAGCGGTATAATGAAAGAGATGATAATTTCACTAGGCCTTTTCTTTTTGACTTTGGATGTACCTACACATTTAGATTTTTTTTGCCGAGATGGGCACCACCGAGCAGCTTGGTATTTTATTTGGCTGGATCTCAGCGAAAAACTTGCCACGTGGTGAGAAAATTCTTAGCTACTGTCTACCAGACAAAAAGTCTTGACCCCCTAAACAACTTTGCCCAAGACAGCAACTTTCTAGCTGATCAAGATCTCGACCCAAATATGCGAGAAAGGCACGTATATGCTAGCGCCGCATAGTGAAAAAATTCTGAACTATTGTCACCCAACAAAAAGATTTTAACTTCCCGAAAAACTTTGCCGAATACATTTACTTTCTATCTGGTCAGGATCTAGAGATATTTTATATGCGAGAAATTCACATGTATAGTAGTGCTGCGAAGTGAGAAAACTCCAAACAACTGTTCACCTGCGGAAAGGCCTTGACCTCCTGAATAACTATGCCTAAGACAGTACCTTTCTATCTGGTTGGGAACTCGAGATATTTTATATAAGAATTTCACGTGTATACTAGCGTCGCATAGTGAGCAAATTCTGAACTATTGGTGCTCAATAGGATTTGACCTCCTGAAAAACTTTGTGGTAGACAGTAACTTTCTATCTGGTCAGGATCTCGATATATTCCATGTTCTAATAAATGAAGTCAAATCCCACGTAGTATTGCCACAGTTTACGCGATTTCCATTTACATTTTCCCTATTATCCACAATTTTTAGGTGTTTACTGTAATCAAAGTTTAGCTTGTTTAGATCAAAACAAGTTTTTTGAGGAATACTCCTTGGTTTCAGATCGACTGGTAACTCAGCAACAAAATGGCAATGGAAAACTCATGTGTGTTGTACAAAGTACACCAGCGCGAGTAACGGAGGGTTAATAAATGTATAATAGTGTCTAATTAAACATTATTTCACATGAGAATCAAGCGTCTATTGTAACGGTCACTCCATGTTGTAAATATTAAATCAGTCAGTCACTCCATGTTGCAAATATTTAAACAGCCAGTCACTCATTGTTGTAAATATCAAATTAGCTATAATTAAAGTAGGATGAAATGAATCTAATCTATACGCCAAAAACTACGCCAGTAGCGAAACGACACTGGTCGATTTACTATAAAAATAGAATATCTCGTGAGTAAAGCCACACGACCTTGTGCAATTTCTCCCAAGGCCGAGTCCAGTGAAATCTTCGGGAAAGTTGGGAAAAGAGAGAGTTGTGGCTACACCCGACATTGAACGAAGGACCAGCGATCGGAATGATCTCTCGCATTGCCGATCTAGTTCGAAGAAGTTCGCGGGAAAATCGAACTTCCGTTAAGTTCGGCCGAGGTCACCTTCCCTAATCTGAGGGTCACGGTTTCGCCTCACTTTCGTCCGAACCGCAGATAACAGTGGAAGTGTGTCCTTTTTTTGTTCGCGTTATTTGATAGTTTTGTATAGTGAGTTAAAGCAACGTGGTTTTACTTTATTCTTGAATTCTAATTTCTCCTCGTTGACTGTTTAGTTATAGCTATCAATCTAAAAGTAGTGTGCGTCATAGGCTAGACTTTGTGTGTGCAAAAAACAAGCTAGACCAGGTAATGTGCTGCTCGGTAAAGAAAATCTGTGCAATGTGCTTAATGGTATTTTCAACAGCCGACGGCTACATCCTCTTCCAACGCCATCATCTGCATCCCCGGGGCGAAAGATTCCGGCAACCGTCACCTTGGCCGGTGGAAAGCGATCCGCATCCACATCGCTTGTCGGGGTTTGGTGGTTGTCAAGCGCCACCTGTGGTAGAATTACCATCCGTCCAACCACGTGGAAATCGTTGGCCGTTTAATCACCAACGGTCGAACGCTAAGTAGCACCGTCGCCGCCCGTAACAGCAGCGCAGCAATCAACAGCAGCATCATCAACTGGTGAGTCCGTTCCAATTGTTTCTTTGTCGAGTGTGGCGTCCGGCGAGGGCGCCACGGAGGACCTTTTTTGCCGACCATAAGGTCGAAGAGCATGAATTGCTAAGATTTGGATAAGTCCAATATTTGTGAGGTTGGGTGTCGGCAGGTGGGTGCACACGTATCGTAATATATGGATGCCCACCCAACCCTTTAATGTGAGACACCTGGGTGCCAAGCTTTGCCGTTCCCCGCTTGCTGCATCGTCGTCGTCGAGATTAACCGAGAAGAAAAACACAAGAGCACAGCACAATATAATAGGTAGATAGAAGAACCGCACGCACACAAGTATAGGTAGAGGAATAGAATAAAGAGGAGTAGGAAAATACAAGCAATCCAAAGTTCTGAAAAGCATGAGTTTACAATAAACCTCAACTTACCGTTTTCCGTTATAAAATGAATGTTTGATTTGAATTGAATGTAATGTTGTTGATCAGTCCTATTAAAACTTTTGAATGAAAGGAAGAAAGTGTCTTCACGTTGTTTCGGGTCCGGGTAATTATGTTGTCTTCCACGTGGTCGGTATTTGACTTGTATGTGGCGTACCTCTTTTGTTGAAGCTGCACCTCTGGCGGAAATAAGTGGAACTACCGATGAGGAAAGCTTGACGTGTAACGTCGTTTAGGTTTGTGTGATCTCTTACCGTGAGCTTCGGGGAAATATTTCGGGGTGTGAGAGATTATGCTGTTTTAGCAATAAGGTTTTCTACCCGATCAATTTCGGTGGTAGTGAAGCTGGCTCGATCTCTTCTTTTTAGGAAGATTACACTTGGACTCGCCCTTGAGGCAGTCTCATCCGGGCAAACTCAACATGGTATGCGGTCTCCTTTATCGGAGTGGCGCTTAAGCCGCATACTTATTCGAGATCGACCAGTGACGGCTACACTATATACACACACCTTTATACCATCGCTGTTTAAGGAAGTAATTATGTCTAATAAACGCTGAATAATCAAAAATTTGATTGAATAAGCTCTGTTACCACTTATGTATGTCGAATGAAAGCTTCTCGACATATTTTATTCAACACCAAATATTTCGATATTTTGGTTGAATAAATTCTCCAAATTTGCGTGAAAAAAGCCTGAACAGAAGTTATTATTAAAAATAGTACAAGTATTATTAAGCATGAAGTGGAATAAAATCGCCAAGAAGTCGTTTCTTTAAAAGGCAATTGTTTGTTGGGTAGAGTACAAGTTTGATAATCGCAACGTTTCGGAGTGCAACCTTTTTTTTCGTCGGCATGATTAATTTCACTCACTAATACACTCCACATTATTTTTTCTGTGTTTGACACCTGTCAAATTCTTTATACCTGTCAAATTCACTTTGAAATAGTCATAATCAGCGATTTTACGACTCGCGACTCTGGGTGAACGCTCACGAATCATAAAATCTCTGATTGTAACACTCTGGAAGCGAAATTTACAGGTTTTATGCGTCAGATACTTGCCTTTCAATATCTTCTTGTATCTAACAAGTACAAAATATCATTATAACGTCTAATGATTTCAAAATTCAGAAAATCATTTTTTTTATAGCAAGTGAGTGGAAGCAACCATGGTCTCCACTAATATCCTGCGCTGATGAATCCCTCATAATGGTAAGCAAATCTCACATCCTTCGGTTGGGTGTAGCTATATAAATTCAAGATTTCGAAATTTGAAAAAATCTCAAGATCTAGAGTTAAAAAAAAAATCCCAGCCATTATAAATAATTAAATGAGACATTTTTAAAGATCAGAGAGCGAAAACTCGGGCCATGAATCAGGGTCATGAAAAATTGGAAAATATTTTGATAATCCGGAATTAAAAAAAATCAAAACCCTCTTACATGAAAAGATTAAAACCATCTAAAACTAAAGGAAGTATTCGATATGCCAGACTTCACAACATGCTTAGGATTGTATGTCTGAAACTTCGATAATTTTTAAGAATCATCTTCAAGTTGAATTTCCAAACAAACTTCAAACCAACTGCTCTTTCTTTTTCATATGATTTTAATGTTATGTTATATTAAGACAACTGTAGAAAATCTCTGCTCTAAGACAAAAAAAAATTGGACAACAATTATCAAATAAAGAAGAATATATATAAAAACAAAATGTTATGGATACTAGGTTGTTTATTGATACTTCAATTTGAAGGAGGCATTATTGTTATTTACAGTAATTTTGCCTATTTACACAAGAACTGGTTCGAGTAAGACTTAGAACTAAATAATATTTGCCACTTCCCAATCACGAATTGCTTAACAACATATTTACACTCACTTTAATAACAATATTTACAACACAAAATGTACGATTCATTCTCCATGCTGTAACTTGACGATGGCTAGTTTACCACCATTTATCATCCTCAGTCTCACTGCTAGCAGTCCGGAACCTATTACCCGTATCGATCACGTCAGCCCGTTTCCTAGCGTGGTGTCGTGCCGCCAGCATTATCAGCTCATTAATCGATGGATTCTCAAAGTCCCCCGGACTGAACCTCGGCTTGAAGTCAGTCATAAAATAATCATCATCAACTCCACTCTCATCGTACGCATAGTCCGGCGAATGGCCCTCCAAGCCGTTATTTTCACCCGACGCCCAACCGTCAACGTTCTCCACCTTTTCACCGCTGGCCTTAACCGTTTCAGTCGGCTCGTGCTCCACCAGGTAGTCGTCATCGTCTTCATAGTAATCATCATCATCCTCGACCCCACTGCTGTTGTCGTCGGCGTCGTCGTCGTCGTCGTCTAGACCATTGTTTCCAATCTGCGCGAGAACGGCTTCCATAATTGCCGCCTCGTTCGCATCGTCGATGTGCCGTTCCTCCGCCGATGTCAGACCAGCTGTCCTCTTGATTGCTACTCCCGAGTAGAGTGATCGCTTCGCCCGTGGCACCTTGATCGTTACTTCGACGTTTTCCAGCTTGATCGAATCCGATCGCTTGTTGCGTGTTTTCTGCGCAGGTCTCTCCCTGTAGACTTGCTGGCAAATTGCGGCTACCATGCGGAGCAATCGCTGCGAGGGTTCCATTCCGGGTTCGTGCGAGAACTTGATCGTTCGGGAATTGTCCGGATTGTACACCATCTGGACGGAGTTGCCTTTGAGGTCGTTTTTTAGGTGATTTCTGATTTCCTGCTTCCCAAAACGAATCTCGCGAGAACTCAACAGATCGGACAGAAGATCACTTCGCGGTTCGGAGCGTTTGCGATGGGCGTCTTCCTCAATCAAATCCCAAAAACTGCCGAAGATCTTTTGCAGCGCAACAAGCTCATCACTGCTAAGCTTGTGTTGACGAAGTTGTTTGATCGTCACTGGGACGAGTTGGAGCACTTCCAGTTCATCGAAATTTTGCACGTTGATAGATGAGATGTCTGTAATGGGGAGAGAATCATTGCATTAGTATCGATTCAGTGGGTGCTGGATGGAAGATTTTTCACTCTGTCACAAAGTGAAACTGTTACGCAACGGTACGAATGCTCAACTTACCAAGTTTTTTAGATTTAGGGAATAATCCTTCGATCTGCAGTCTCTGGCGATAAGATGCCAGAGTTTTGAAATAAACACTGTAGTCTTCGTTCATGTGTTGTTTTTCCCGGATAACGGATCCAGCTGCGAAGTGCATAATTGTGCACATTGCGATCAACAACACTGCTTTTGAGTACATTTTCGTTACTGTTTTTCAAAGTCTTCACTATCGCAAATCACTCGAATGTTGTTCTAATTAATGACACTAATCACTATATTTCAAATTTCCAGTTTCACTTCAGAATTGACGTTGTTGCTTTGAAGAACCACTTGCGAATGTGTATCACTTCTACTGAATCCAAACTTTAAATATCATATCTCTACCTCCCTTCCCCTGGGAGTTCATTTCTATGTTCTACCATGCATTGTACTCCAAGCACTTGTCTTGATTTTCCTTTTCACTCGTTCAAGAACGGCTACCCATTGGCGACGCGACCTTCTGGCGCACGCATAGTCTATCTCTGTTTACATAATTCTCAGCCTTGCCATTCCTCCTACCGTTTCCCAATGGAATGCATAGTCTGGTCGAGGATTGGTCGTCAGGAGGAAAATGTGTCCTGTGTAGCGACTTCTATGTACAGCAAAGGACACCCCGGCCTAAACCTGAATGGTAGGTTAAGTAAGCAGCAGCAAAGAAGGATAAACCACAGCAATCATGAGCTACTGGTGGAGGCGTGGCGCTTGGCTCCACGATAATCAAAACAAACGGATGGCGGCACGGGTGTTGATGGGATTTACTTTGATTGAAGCGATTAAAGGGTAAAAATGGGTTTAATCGACTTCATTTTTTGTAGCTGTTCTACATACTTTTTTTGAAGTAGGTACCTGAGTTTTTATTTTTATCTTTGAATGTTTTTTTTTTTTGTAATTAAAGAGAATAGATATTTTTACCTGAAAATCAGACCACTTTTTTCAAACGCACGCCATTTTGTTAAAAATCAATATTTTTACAATCGACCATGTACTTCACTAGTTTAAACATTCTAGCTTATGAAACTTTTATCCATGTTGTTCTAGGACTACCTCCGGCTGCAAATCGTTTCTGCCCGCTAACCGTTTCATGCCGGGGATGCTTTCTCTTAGACGACTGCAGCGCACCCTCGTTGCACATTTCAAAAACCAAAATTTAGGAAAATGATATTTAAAATATTTTCATTAAAATGCTGAAACCGCATTCTTTTAAGTGTTTCCGTTCGCCAAAAAAATGTGAAATTTACCCTTTTTTTCGTCTTTTCACTAGCCTAACCTTTAAGGTCATATTTACGGAGATAAACGGATTTAACCCTGTAATGGTAACCTTAAATCAAGGACCTGGGGCTGATATGCACCCCACACCAAGTATTGCTGTATCTCAAGATCTTAATTATTTAGAAGGGTGATGTCTCAAACAAAGTTGATCATGAGGTCAAGGTTTGTTTGATGGTGGACAGATAAATTCGGAATTCTGTCGCTAGGCCGCACTTTTGAGCATCCCGTATGTACATATTCTGAACTGCTGTATATCAATATTAGATTATATTCAATCCAGATTATATAGCAGGATAATGTTTCCGGCAAAGTTAATCAGGAGCATTTAAACAACAATTCCGGTGGAAGGTCGTAAGATAAATTGAAGAAATCTGAAGCTATTTGAATTGAAAAGTAAAAGAAAACTGCATTTCAGTGCATTGGCACAAGAAGATCCTCCAACCAACCTATGGACTAATAATTCTTCTTCTTCTTCTTCTTCTTCTTCTTCTTCGCATTTCAAGCTTATTGCATATCGCATATTAGCTTAATGTTCTAGATGCACTTCCACAGTTATTAATTTTGAGAGCTTTCGAAGCCTGTACCATTTTTGCATTGGTATAATTGTGTGGCAAAAGTCAAATCATACTTCTATGCCCAGGGAAGTCGAGAAATTTTCCAACCCGAAAAATTCCTAGACCGGACCGGGAGTTGAACCCAGCCACTTCCAGCTCTTGCTTTGTAGCTGTGCCTTTACCGGCTGAGCTACGGGCGGCCCCTATGGAGCCTATGGACTACTACACTACTTCATTTCATGAGGACACCCGTCTCCACAATTATTTCCAGTATAGCCTGAGTGATACAATTGATAATCCAGCGGATCGGGTTGAATTGATGCAGTTCGAACCGTCTTCTACCGAGCCTTCGCAGAATGGTAGTTGTTATCCGGTTGTGATTTATTCCGTGTTGTGTTTATGTTTGACAGCTGCGGATGTTGCTTCTTCTTATTTGTGAAATGTCGATGCATGCTAAGATTTCTGTGAATCAGCAATATACACTTGAGTTAAAACCGTTTTCAAATCCGTTATTTCAAATCCGAAATAGACCCAAATGATGTTGTTCCATTACTAAGTGGCCCATGCTTTATATAGAAGAGTGATGTCTTCGGCAAAGTTGACCAAGACTTATGGCCAAATAATGCTAGGAGGTGGACAGATCAACTCTGAAATTCTACCACTAGTGCTAGTGAGCATGCAAATATTTTTTACTGCTGTATGTCCACATACTGAAAATATAGAAGGGTGATGTCTTCGACAAAGTTTACCACGGGTCAAAGGCTGCCGAGGGGCTGACCGATCTCTCACTAGGTGGTGCTTGTGTGCATCTCACATGCAAATATTATGTGCAAATCGCGATTATGACCAAATTTAAGGAGATAAACGGGATTAACCCTGTAATGGTAACCCCACACCATGTATTGCTCTATCTCAATATCTTAATTATATAGACGGGTGATGTTTTGGACAAAGTTGATCAGAAGGTCTTGGATGGTGAACAGATCATGTTAGAATTTCTGCTATATATTTCCATTTCTGGGAAAAATTACGACGCAGCTTTGCCAGGTCATTTTCAGAAAAATCTGACCAGGGCAAATATAAAATCTGGAAAAATCTGGAATGCTCAAAAGAATCCAGTTCTTAACTTTATGCTATTGAAATCAAAGTGATTTGCCAATCTCCGGGCAGTATAATCATCTCGAATTTATTTAAAGTACTAGAATGGTTATGAATTACATGTCTAGATCAATTATATAAAGCAAATAACTTTTAAGCATTGCTAAAATCATACAAAAGTTAAGAAAAGTATTCACACAGTGTGCCTAAAAAGTTTAAATATCCATTACGCAGCATTTCAAAAATTGAGTTAAATTGTGGATAAAATACTGCAGAAAATAATTTTAGAATTTGTTTTAAACTGTAACTATTTTTTGAAAAAATGGATGGGTTTTTTAAGCTAATAGTCGGTGTAGTCCTTACTATTTGATGCGGTACCAGATTTTGAAGATTTTATTAGTTCTAAATAATTCTAATATTACCCTGAGGTTGACCAGTAGACCCTTAGGCTATTTTATTTTGAAGTAAAATTCACCTGACTGAAGTGGGAATCAAAACCTAACATCGTGGTACTCACACACAGTTTACCTAAACTACGGATAACTCCACTATTCGTATGATCATTACGAATAATTTTATGCCAAAGAATAATTTTATTATTTCATTTTATGATGTACAAGGGGGTCAGGGGCCATGTCACCGATATGAATATTCACACCATCCATAATACACCAGGGAAGGGGAGAGGAGTGAGCAACACAGCATCTTTACCCATGGGGGTTCTGTGAGGTACACTTATGGTGAACCAGCTGCTCAGGAAATGTAGAAAGGAAGAGGGTTGGGTAGGTTTAAAATGCAGAATTAGATGCAGAATTAGATGCCGTCACGATTGAATGCGCATGTTTAAAAAACATTGACCTGTCGTATAAATTTTCATATCATCTAGTTGTGGTTATTATCAATAATACTTACATTTCGATAAAGATGATGCTATCTATTTTACCTTATATGTGATACTTATAATCACATAATCCAACTTTGAATCGTAGACCAGGTCCATTAACAATACACTCGTTCCGAGAAGGGGGTCATCCTGTATAGTCATCTTTTTCTTCTTCAGGTTCGCTCACAACTCGGAATGAACGTTCAGTGTGGTTAGTAATATCAAATAGTGTTACATGCAAACGAAAAGCAGATACAGCAAGGATTAGTTTTTTAAAGTAATAGTTTCATCTGAATACCAAACTAACTATATTTCAGTGACATTGTCTCACTCTGAACCTACATTTAAATAATGAGAGAGAGAAGGATTAGTATTTTCCATTTAATTCCACTACTTTATTTGCTTATCCTTGACAGATACGCGTATTTCGTCTACAATGTGCAGACTTCTTCAGTGTCTTGTACTAATACTCGACTGAAGAAAAACATCGCATTTACCGAATATATATTAATACAGGTACATTTTCTCTTAGAAACTAGGTAAACTTAAATTTAATTTTCTATAGGAACAGGTACTCCGCTGCTTACTCGTTGATATGTCCTAGGTAGTAACTTGAAAAGCCATGTGTGTCCGTTTCCTTGATCCCTGTTGAGTAAAGTTGAATTACGTTGTTTGTTGATCTCGAGGCTTTCTGCAACATCCAATTTCCATGGTGTAGATACGGTTCGTAAAATCGTGATGTCCTCCGTCGATAGTTGGTGGTCCTCTGTGAAGATGTGTTCTGCAACCTTTGATTTAAAATCATATGTTAGGCCTTTTTCCTCTTGCTTTTTGGCCTTATTATTCTGTCTAGGGCCAAGGTAGCAGAGGAGTGCGAATCGGATAGGAAGCGGAAGCTGCAGGATAGGAAGCTAAACAGACTACGGCAGGAGTCTCAACGGAGACGGACGACACACCGAACGGGTGAGCAGATACCATCAACCATCACCACGGCGCCGAGGGTTCACTCCATTGATGGGTTGGTTGTCAACCGATCGACGACCGCATTCACGGAAGAACAATTGACACACCTCAACAAGGGGCTAGGATACGCGGTTACAACCAAGCCAGACGTGGAGCAGATCATCATTGACGTAGAAACAGCGATTACCAAGACGCTTCCAACAACATCACAGAATACGGTTAGGACTATTACATCGAACATAATCAAGGACGGACAGGACGGACGCGCCAACGAAAAAGAAATTCGGATTGTAAAGGAGCTTAAAAGTAAAGCAGTATACTACGTAAAGGCAGACAAGGGAAACGCGGTCGTTATCATGGACAAGGACGATTACGATAATCAAATGGCAACGA